AATTCGATAACTTTTTAATAAATATTAACAAACTTACAAGATATATATAGAGTTTTTGAGTAATAAACATCTTCTTGCATTTGTTTATATCCGAAGAATTTAGATTCAACTTTCTCAGTTTTGTTTTTATCTATATTTTCTCAATAAAGTTAGTTTTCCAATAAATTTTCCTAGGATATAGCTCCTTCCATTCACAGTACATCAATTTTACGTTCCTTAAGACCTTCATCATACAACAATGCGAACGATTATTGTAATTATCTCGAGGTGATTCGTCAGGTTGACAAGCTTTCAATTCAGCTTCACTTTTGTTAATTTACTTATGATTTCTCATTAAATAATAATTACTGTTTTTTAAATAATACAAAACGTAAACTTTATTAAACATAAAATGATTTTACATATCTACTCGGCAACAGCTATACTCCAACAACTTCACTCCACTATCTCATCCTCTTACATAAGTGTCGCGCGATACAAATTTAGTACCAACTTAACACGCCTCCTTAAATTTGCATCGCGATTTAATTACAAATCATAAATAGTTTATAGAATACATAGTGCTTCCCTGAATTTTTCGAATTTAACAATACCTAAGGATTTGGTGAGAATGTCAGCAACATTTTCCTCCGAATTTACTTTTACAAAATCAATAATTTTGTTTATATAACTTTCATTCACAAAATGATAATGCGTTTCAATATATTTGGAATTTTTAGTAAAATTACCATGTTTAGCTATGCTTACTGCACCTGAATTATCTTCATAAATTTTTACAGGTACTGAAACCTTAATACCTAAATCTGACAATATGTCTTTTACAATTTTTAATTCACTCACACACTCTGATAACGCTACATACTCAGCAGATGTAGAGGATTTTGTTACGCTATTCTGTTTCTTGGATTTCCAAAATATTACATTGTTATACATTTTTATTACGTAACCAGTCGTAGATTTTCTGTCAGTTACATCGCCTGCCCAATCGGCATCTACATAACAACTTAGAATATCAGATTCATCATTCTTATAATATGTTAACTTCAAATCTTTGGTCAACAATAAATATTTAAGGACTCTTAATGCATATTTATAATGAGTATTGTCATAGTAGTTCTGGAACCGACTTAGATAGTTCACACTAAAGCTTATGTCAGGTCTTGTACCTGAACTTATATATAATAATGCACCAATCAAATTTCTATATTTAATTTGTTTACTCACTGCTTTCGCAGGTAATAATTTTAAATTTTGCTCCATCGGAGTCGCAAACAACTTACAATTTTCAAGATCATATTTTTTTCCTAATGATACAATATAATTTTTCTGATCCAAAGTCATTTTCCCATGAACATAGTCATAATCGATATTGATACCTAAATAAGTTTTAATATAGCCTAAGTCTTTCATTTGGAATCTTTTCATTAACAATTTTTTAATATTATTTAACTTTTCTACATCTTTGCAACAAATTAGTAAATCATCGACAAACAAAATTAAGTATATATTATGATCCTCCTCTTTTAAAACATACAAACAGTTATCATTTTCACTTCTCTTGAAGTTTAAGTATCTCAAATATTCATCAAAACACTCATACCACGCTCTCGGGCTTTCTCTAAGACCGTACAGTGCCTTATCTAGTTTTAATACTCTATCAGTTCCATCCTCGTAACCTTGAGGTTGCTTTACATACACTTCAGATTTAACTTTGCCGTTTAAAAAGGCTGTTTCAACATCCATTTGTATTATAATTAAGTTATTACTACAACAGTATGACAATAAAATTTTTAACGTTTGCATTCTCGCGACAGGTGAATAAATATCATCAATCAGTTCATTTTGCTGAAAACCCCTTACAACCAATCTTGCTTTATATACATCATCAGCTTTTATAGTATACACCCATTTAAGATCTAATATTTTTTTGTCATTCGGTTTTTCGACATATATCCAAGTTTTGTTTTTATTTAAACACTCTATTTCTTTATTCATCGCCTCTTTCCATCTTTCAGGACTTTTACTACTCATCGCTTCGGTATAGGAAATAGGATTACTTGCGTCTACATAATTTACATAGATGATATTATTACAAACAAAATCGTTTTCATTAAGTCTAGCCGGTTTTTTTCTTTCTCTCATTGAACGTCTTAGCTCCATATTTTCATTATTACTACAATCATTTGAACTTTGATTACCATTTCGATTTTCGTTTTCATTTTCATTACAATTATCATTTAGACGAATCTTAGAAAAGCTTTCATTATTGTCTACTGACTCAAGACCAATACACGGTGTGCCCTCTTCAATTATATCAACATGTCTAGCAACAATTATTTTATTATTTATCAGGACTCTGTACCCCACTTTTTCATAACCTAGCAAAATACCAAGATTTGCTTTCTTATCCCATTTTGATTGTCTTCTATGTTCAGGTATTCTTACGAAAACCCTACTACCATACAGTTTTAAATATTCTACGCTCGGTTTTACTCCAAACATTATTTCATAAGGAGTTTAATTTTTGACAATTGTATTTGTTATAATTCTATTTTTTAAATAAGTCGCTGTTTTAACAATTTCCGGCCAATAACGTCTATGTACCCTTGCTTCTGCTAACAAACATCTAGACATATCCATTATGTCCCTATTATATTTCTCTGCGGTTCCATTCAGTTCATGCACATATGGTGGACAAGTTTCTATTTCAATTCCTTTTTCGCATGCAAACTTAAACACTTCATTATTTATATACTCTTTACCATTATCACAACGCAATTTCTTTATCTTTTTACCAGTCATATTTTCAATTAGATTTACATACTTGACAAAACAGTTATAAACTTCACTCTTAGATTTTATTACATGAACCTGAGCCGCTTTACTAAAGTCATCAATAAAAGTTAAAAAATATCGTTCTCCATTCAATCCAGGAGTATTATGAGGACCATTCAGATCTGTATGAACAATTTCTAGTATGTCATTAGCCCTAGTTCTTTCATTTTTAAATGGTAAATTATGCATTTTATTCTCTAAACATATACCACACTTAAAATAATCAGACTCTAGCTCTCTAGGTAGACCCTTTAATACTTGTTTATCACACATAGTTTTCAAATAATTAAAATTTACATGACCTATTATCGGCGCGGAAAGTATTGGCCCCTCACTTTAGAGGAGCATAAAAAAAATACTAATACCCATGGAAAATTGAACTAAGATTAAAAATATAGGTTGAGCAATTCTACGTTACCTGTTCAAATTTGACTTTAATCGGTTGATAAGTTCGCCCGCTACCTAACTTTGAAAGTCGAAAAAGGGCGTTTTTAATGTAGAAAATTTTTTAGGGCAAATATAAACGACCATAATGATGTCAAAATTTGTTCAATCGAGTTGAAAATTTTTTGGTAGTTGCCCGGAACGTTTCTTTCGAAGATCGCGGTGAGAAAAATTAATTATCTCAATTGCCAATTTAATTATTCAAAGCAACATCCATGAACGCTATCTCAACAACAGAACAAGATAATAAAATGATTCAAACGCAAATATAAAGAAAAAAAAAATCACATTATAATCCGCAATTGTAAAAATAAGAACAAAAAGAATTCGCAAAAATATAAGACTTTTTAAAAATGGTACAGGTGTTTATGACACCGATTAACGTTAAGGCTTACCGGTCGTAAACCCATTCTGTGCGTATATGTACACAGAAGAGGATTAAAAGATAGAAAAAATTTTACGTGCGTGCGACCAGAAAACATGTGCAGATGGAAAAGCGTAGGACGTAAGAAATTTTCAGAGGGGCAACGAAAAAACTAAAAGTACCAATAAAGAATAATTCCAAGATCGAAACACTCGAGCGTCACAAGTTCAAAAATTCATATCACCTTTCTTTATAATAATTAAGGAATAAAAATTGATCTCCATATATATGATAGTTAAATAAATAATATAGAGCCATTTTTATTCGTTGAAAATTATTTTTAAACCCGTAGGGCAATTCTTGAGAGCATCAACTTGCTCCTTGAGGTCCCAGAGCATGATTTTTAGGAATTTGAAAATTCATAACACCTTTATTTATGAAAATTAAGAAATAAAAATTGATCTCCATATATATTATAGTTAAATAAATAATATAGAGCCATTTTTATTCGTTGAAAATTATATTCAAACCCGTAGGGCAATTCTTGAGAGCATCAACTTGCTCCTTTAGGTCCCAGAGCATGATTTCTGGGACTTTGAAAATTCATAACACCTTTATTTATGAAAATTAAGAAATAAAAATTGATCTCTATATGAATTATAGTTAAATAAATAATATAGAGCCATTTTTATTCGTTGAAAATTATTTTTAAACCCGTAGGGCAATTCTTGAGAGCATCAACTTGCCCCTTAAGGTCCCAGAGCATGATTTTTAGGACTTTGAAAATTCATATCACCTTTCTTTATAATAATTAAGGAATAAAAATTGATCTCCATATAAATTTTAGTGTAATAAATAATATAGAGCCATTTTTATTCTTTAGAAATTATATTGAGAGCATCAACTTGCCCCTTAAGGTCCCAGAGCATAATTTCTGGATCTCATAATTCTAGATGAATCTTTTTTTCTGTAAAATATCGAAAGGTCATTTATTTGTCCAAGTGCGTTTTAATGCTCTGATACTTGAATACTTTTGTCATTCGTCGATTTTCTGTGTCATTGGCTTCAGGTACAGTCAAACTCCTGTAATTCGAACTCCTCTAATCTGTCCTTCCCCTAAGTAGGCGGAGTTTTATATTCTCCCTCCTAATTGTTTCCCCTTCGGCGCATCGCGAAATATGCGCAAAAAGAAAGAGACATTTACTCTATTTAGGTTATGGAATAAAATATAGATTGAATCGTAGCCTTAGATTAAGTTAAGATAAGTTAATAGTAACAATTAATTATTATCGAGTTAATTAGAAAGTTTAAAGTTAATATTTATTATTATTTATCAAAGTTTACTTTTGCCAAAAAAATGTCTTGTGATAGTAGCCTAAAAAGAAAACATAATGAAGTGTCGATAGAGGTTAAGTTAAGAGCAATCCGTGAGATTGAAAAGGGATCTTCGATTTATGATATTTGCAATGAATTGAAAGTACATCATAATACTGTCAAGTCATGGCTAAAAAATAAGGAAAAATTCGTGAAGTGGTCTGCTGAGCGTGGTAATAATAAGCTGATGCCGAGAAGACGTTTAAGCCATGAAGACAATAAAAATGTCAATCATGCTATGTGGATTTGGTTTCAAGATAAACGTCAAGCGGGCGTTCCAATAAATGGACCTATGATCCAAGCTCAAGCTTTACGATTTAATTCAATATTTGGTGGAAATGAAGACTTTAAGGCAAGTAACGGGTGGTTACGCAGCTGGAAAGAAAGACACGGAATTCGTGCATTGACTATTTGTGGAGAAAAGTTATCTGCAAATATTGAGGCAACTGACCCTTTCAAAGAGAAATTTTTAAAGTTTGTTCAAGATAACAATTTATCATTTCATCAAGTATTCAATTGTGATGAAACTCGCCTCAATTTTAAAGCATTGCCAAAGACTACACTATCTTCCAGGTTACAAGAACCTCCATCTGGGTTAAAAAACAGCAAAGAAGGATTCACAGTAATGGCATGTTCCAATGCTGCAGGCTCTTTTAAACTGCCACTAGTTTTTATTGGAACAGCCGCTCGTCCTCGTGCTTTAAAAAACTGCAATAATTTACCTGTAACATATTATTCTCAAAAAAATCATGGATGACAAGACAGTTGTTTGCAACTTGGATTGAAAATGATTTTGTTCCTAAGGTCAAAGAATATTTACAATCTAATGGTCTACCTCTAAAAGCTTTATTGCTGATGGACAATTGCTCAGCACATAAAATTAATCTTGAGGAACATGGAATTTTTATAATGTTTTTCCCTTCAAACACCACCTCGTTAATCCAACCTATGGATCAGGGATGTTTACAAAACTTGAAGTTATTGTACAAGAAGTATCTCATGGACTTTATTTTAGATTGCATTGAGAAAAACATAACCTTGAGTGATACTGTAAAAAGGATTACCATCAAAAATGCAATAGATTGGGCAGCTGGAGCTTGGGATCAAGTAACACAAAGTTGCATTCAAAAATCCTGGAATCAGGTAAATAAATTAATTTTGTACTTGTGTAGTATTTATACTTTTTATATGAAGCATTTGATAAATATCTTAAGTAATATTTTTTTGCTTATATTAACATTTCTTATTAGGTATGGCCTTGGAATGATCGATTCAATGTATCCAATTTTGTGAATCAAGAACAGGTTATTTACAATTTATTGAAACAATTTCATACTGCTCTTCAAAGTTTATCAGAATACAGAAATGTAGATGTAAGTAATTTTGAAGAATGGTTAAAATCAACGCATCAAACACCATGTCTATCTGAAACCGATATCGTAGACATCATTTATGAAGAAAATGGAGAAGAGACAATGTCACATCAGGTTGAAGATAATAATGAACCTCAAGAATATAATGAACCTCAAGAAAAAGAGAACCAACCAATGCATGAAAATTATGAATTTAATTGTCATATGCCTGTCGAGATAGAGGTATCACAAGAAGTTACGAAAGAAGCAGCAGGATTATGTTTTAAACAATTAAAGAAGTGGTGCTATGATAATTATTATGAAGAAAGTCGAGATGCTCTTAATATTATTGAAAATTTCTTTCAATAACAATGTTTTAAATTTATTCTGTGTTAGTCATGAAAAAGAGTACAAATAATTTAAAATATTTATTTCTATTTATTTATAATCTCGATATAAAAAAAGTGATTTCGACTGAAAGTAAAATAAGAGTATCATATGAAAAGGATTTTTATATATTTCTACATAGAGAACGTTCCTAAAAAAAAGTAAAAAATTTAACTAATTGCAATTTTGTACTAGGTTCAGCTATTAATAAAAAAAATATAAGAAATTAGAAGTTAATTTTTTGTTTTATTATCTTCTTTTCGGTCATGCATCAATATTTTTCAGGTTATGTTCATTACAATCGAGAGAGATAGAGTTTTCTTTCTCTCTCTATTGTAAGTTAGTGGGGGAACTCCTGTAATCTGACTTCCAGGAAAAAATGGCACATTCACCGACAGATTACAGGAGTTTGACTGTATACGCTCCCTTATTTGGGTTGACCTGTACCATTATTTCTACTATCTATTGATGACTGTGGGAACACCTTTAGTCTATCTACAGAACATTGTTTTTGGGTATCTGTTAGCTATTGTTCGCTTCCTAATTTGCAGTAGCTATTGTTTTCCTTTTCTTGTTCTGTAATGGTTACTATTTCATTTGCTCGTTTGTGATGGATGGCCTTTTTCACTTATTCCATGGTCATGTCTTTCCTGATTTTTCCTCATACTTGTTTGTATAGTTTGTTCTAATTTCTGGACTTTCCCTACATTATTATCTTTCTTGACAATTTCTGCCATACCTTTTCCTTCATATTTCTTGGTCAGTCTTGAAGTATCGTTTGTCTGGTAAAGTACTACTTGTGTGCTTATCGTTCTGAATATTTTTCTCGACTTTCTTACGCTATATTCGTAGATTCACCTGTTTTTTTATTCGTGTTTGATTTAATCAACGTTATCATTTGAAGTACTGTGGATTTTTTTGCAACTATATTACGTTTTGTGATTGTGTCATTTTTGGTGAGTGAAAAATCATTTGGTGACAGTTATACTGTTTCTATTTGGATTTACGAGACGTCTCATTCTTCTCAACAGGGGTAAGAATTTAAGATTATTCGATATTAATTTCTTTTTTTATCAAAGAATAATTTTTTTCACGGCAAGTCTGTAGAGACGCTTTGTTGAAATTTTGTATTTTATTTCATAATCTTAACGATTTTCGTCGCTTAATTTTGTATTGTTAATTTTTTTTTTAATCATAATGGACGGGTGTATTCTAATAAATCATTCTAATTTTCGTATCATCGATGCCGGCGGTAACGGTGATTGTTTTTTCAATTGCCTTAGTAAATTATTCAATATTCGTGGATCATTCAAAGTGCGCCAAAAGATCGTGTCTTATGTTGTAGATCATTGGACCGATTATTGTGACGATGCTAATGGTTATTTTCAAACTACGAGTGCTTCACAATATAAGTCCATGATGGGGAAAACAAGGGGTATTTGCGTCTCTTCTAGAATGCCGGGCAGCAGCGCAATTTTTCGGTGTCAATTTGATCGTCGTCCGGCAAAATGCAGACAAGTCTCACTATATGTTAGAATTCCGCAATATGAATGCTAGTGAAGACATACATTTATTATTTACTGGGCAGCATAGTGAACATCACAGAGATGGACATTTTCAAATTTTAACAAGGACAAATGACGATGATGTCATGGAAGTAGAAGCAGTTAAGGTTGATACAACGGTCCACAGAGAAAGTGTAAATTCGATAGAAGATAACACTTGTAAGAGAAATGCAAACTCACCATTGCATATCAGTGATGAAGAATCGTCATCATCAGATTTAAACCGATCACATGCTGAAGAACCAAAACTGCTGAAAAAAGAAAAAAACAAGAAAAACGCGGAATCACTGAAACATTTAACAGAAGGTGAAAAATTAATGGTCATTAATGCACGTAAGTATTTCGATGAAGAAAAAATGAATGGACCGAATGATGTGATGCAGGTGATAAGGAGGACTGCAGAATGCCTTCAAATCTCGGAGAGGACCGTGAAGCGTGTCACAAGCGAATGGCGAAAAAACGGTGAAATAAAAAAAACCGAAAAAAGTGGAAGACCATCCGTTCCGTGCGATGAGAATTTGCAAGGGTTGATACGGCGAAAAATTCACGAGTTTTATGCAAGGAAAGAATTTCCAACTACGTTAGCGCTGTATGAAATATTAAAACAAGAAGTACCGGACCTACCGGAATTTAAACTTACAACCCTCAGGAAATGGATGAAAAATTTGAATTTTTCTTATAAAAAACTAGCTAAGAAACCCGTTTGGATGGAAAGCGTGAAAATCGCTGGGCAGCGTGATAAATATTTGCGCGAAATTGAAGGATACCGTAACAAGGGTTACAAAATATTTTATACTGACGAATCGTGGTGTGGAGCAAATCATAGTCGAAAGTATGGATGGACAGAGAGCACCGATATGAACGCGTTTGACGGTTACGATTTATATCGTGAGAGAGTCCAAGACGTTTACGGACAACGAGGTGGTTTTATTACACCTTCTGGAGCTGGAAAACGGGTGATCCTGCTGCATATTGGAAGTGAAGATGGATTTTTACCAGACGCAATGAAATGTTTTGTAGGCGTAAAGGGATCGAGCGACTACCACGATGAAATGAACGCTCAACACTATCAGGAATGGATGGAAGACGTACTACGCGTGCTGCCCAGTAAATCGGTAATAGTCCTAGATCAAGCACCTTATCATACAACGCTTGATCCCGAATTCCGTAATCCCACCACACAATGGCGAAAAGAGCAGATAATCCAATGGTTAATAAAGCGAGAGGTAAAAGTACCAACGTATGCAGAAAATTTTGAAGACATGTACAGAAATGAACTTTTAAACTTAGCAAAGCCATACCACTATCCAAGACATTACATATGTAATATAGCCGGCTTTAAATAAAGCTTTAAATATTTAAATATTTAAATATGTTAAATATGTTTACATATGTTAAATAAAATTGCCAAAGAAATGCGTGGAGACGAAGTAAAAATTTTATGGCTGCCAGTAGCACACTGTGAGTATAATCCAATTGAACTCGTATGGGCATACGTGAAAAATTACGTAGCAAAACGTAACAAAACCTTTAAGGTAAACGATGTACATCAGCTGTGTATAGAGGCGATGACATCCATTCCTCCAACGCTATGGCCGCGGTGCATACAGCACGCGAAAAAAGAAGAAGAAAAAGCTCGTAAACTGGCGAAAACCATTTCAGAAAGAATGGAATCGATAGTGGAGAACGCAGAAAATGATAGTGAAGATGATGAAACTGAAGAAGAGAGTAACAGTGATAGCTAAAGATGAGCAATGTAATAACCGTATGACAATAAATCCGCAGCAACCGAAGAGACAATTTTTTTTTCGGGTACAAAAGGAACGGTAAGAAAAATGAGCAAAAAATTTGATTAACACCAAACAACAATCACAAAACAACACGGAAGAAAATAAAAATCACAAAATACCACAAATGACAACAGATAAGAATCAACACAATCAAAAGCCCAAACCTATCTCCTATCCCACATCCTTTCCCCTCCTGACGAAAAACGCCTACCACCTTCACGTGGTTTTCGTCGAGCACCAATTCATTGTTGGCCAAGAGTAGGCAAAAACATCCGTACCGAATTTTAGATATTGATCTCTAGATAGTTACATCATAAAGTGCTAAGAATTGCCCTCCGGATTAAAATATAATTTCTAAAGAATAAAAATGGCTCTATATTATTTATTACACTAAAATTTATATGGAGATCAATTTTTTTCCTTAATTATTATAAAGAAAGGTGATATGAATTTTCAAAGTCCCAGAAATCATGCTCTGGGACCTCAAGGAGCAAGTTGATGCTCTCAAGAATTGCCCTACGGGTTTAAATATTATTTTTAAAGAATAAAAATGGCTTTATATTATTTATTTAACTATAATATATATAGAGATCAATTTTTATTCCTTAATTATCAGAAATAAAGGTGTTATGAATTTTCAAAGTCCCAGAAATCATGCTCTGGGACCTCAAGGAGCAAGTTGATGCTCTCAAGAATTGCCCTACGGGTTTGAATATAATTTTTAAAGAATAAAAATGGCTCTATATTATTTATTCAACTATAATTCATATAGAGATCAATTTTTATTTCTTAATTTTCATAAATAAAGGTGTTATGAATTTTCAAAGTCCCAGAAATCATGCTCTGGGACCTCAAGGAGCAAGTTGATGCTCTCAAGAATTGCCCTACGGGTTTAAAAATAATTTTCAACGAATAAAAATGGCTCTATATTATTTATTTAACTATCATATATATGGAGATCAATTTTTATTCCTTAATTATTATAAAGAAAGGTGATATGAATTTTTGAACTTGTGACGCTCGAGTGTTTCGATCTTGGAATTATTCTTTATTGGTACTTTTAGTTTTTTCGTTGCCCCTCTGAAAATTTCTTACGTCCTACGCTTTTCCATCTGCACATGTTTTCTGGTCGCACGCACGTAAAATTTTTTCTATCTTTTAATCCTCTTCTGTGTACATATACGCACAGAATGGGTTTACGACCGGTAAGCCTTAACGTTAATCGGTGTCATAAACACCTGTACCATTTTTGAAAAGTCTTATATTTTTGCGAATTCTTTTTGTTCTTATTTTTACAATTGCGGATTATAATGTGATTTTTTTTTTCTTTATATTTGCGTTTGAATCATTTTATTATCTTGTTCTGTTGTTGAGATAGCGTTCATGGATGTTGCTTTGAATAATTAAATTGGCAATTGAGATAATTAATTTTTCTTACCGCGATCTTCGAAAGAAACGTTCCGGGCAACTACCAAAAAATTTTCAACTCGATTGAACAAATTTTGACATCATTATGGTCGTTTATATTTGCCCTAAAAAATTTTCTACATTAAAAACGCCCTTTTTCGACTTTCAAAGTTAGGTAGCGGGCGAACTTATCAACCGATTAAAGTCAAATTTGAACAGGTAACGTAGAATTGCTCAACCTATATTTTTAATCTTGGTTCAATTTTCCATGGGTATTAGTATTTTTTTTATGCTCCTCTAAAGTGAGGGGCCAATACTTTCCGCGCCGATAATAGTGTTCTATGATATTTTTCTTTTTCAGTCATATTATTTTTAGTTGTCACATTTGCTTCAGGTTTTACAATTTTGCTAGTCATACGGAATACATTATTTACTTTGAATGCTACTGCAATCACATTTCCCGTTGGATTATAAATTTTGCAAGTATTTCCTTTCGATACAATTTTGTTTTTACAAGTAACTTTACCATAACTAATTAAATTTTTATCCATTCCTTTTACAAAAAATACATTCGACATTTTATTTCTTATTATTTGACCAAAAACATTGAACTCATGTATAATGTTCCCTA